CCCCTCCCCCTCCGGAAATTCCACCTGTGAACTGGCACTTCACCTGGCCAGTGGAGGTGTCCTGGTCACCTCCCTTCTGATTAACTGCCCTATGGATTTTGGATTTGCTCAGACAAACCCTACAATCACAGAAGCTAATTCCTTGTGATAAATCTCTTAATAGAGATATCTTCACCTACAGGTGCTTCTGTGGGTTAAATCCTGAGAGGAAAGCAATGATTAAGAATGTCTGTCCACCAGGGGGCCTCCTCGTCTCAACTGAATATTAAAGCACAACTCAATAGGCTGATCAAGTTATATTAGGGGAAGAAACATAAACACTAAACTTCAAGGGGCAGATGTCAATAAACTCCTCATCCTTTTTTTCACAACGCACAGCCTCTAACTAACTCCTGCAGGCCTATGGCGATGCCCCGTGAACACTCACGACACAAGGACAGAGAGAGACTCACACACGCACAGAGTATTCCTAAGGACACTGAAGACTTTATTTTGCACACAAAACCACTGGGGATCTTGCCTGTGGACACCTCGGAGATTACAATGTAGATGCACTTGGCTCCAGACACTTGAGAAGCGAGGTGAGAAGAACAATGATTTGGACCAGTCACATGACTACAAGACTAGGGTTTCCACCAGGGTTCCGATGTCAGGCTTGGCTTTGTAGCAGTTCTAAGAAGCAGTGAGAACACCACAGGGAGGGGAGAGGCAGAGGCCCCTGCAGGTATCAGCTGGGGGCCTTGGGCTGCCCGTGCAGATGTCAGGAGCAGAGGTCTAATTAGCCGACTGGTGACCGCGGGGCTCGGGCTCGCCCAGAGCTTACTTGGCCAGGGGGTTTCTGAAGTTCCTGCCAGCAAACTTGGCCTTGCTGCCCAGCTCCTCCTCGATTCTTGGGAAGCAGATGGACAGAGGGGGAGGGAAACACAGAAGTCAAATCTCAACTCAGTACGTTTTCTCACCCAGAGAAGTCGAGACAACTTATTCTTGAATCCTCTAAAATTGAGCGTTTCTGAGATGCTGAGTAGAACATTCAGCTCCCTTCCGCCCAATCCACTCGGCAGATTGTCATCCATCTGCAGCCCCATCTCCTCCTCTCCACCCCCTCAGTGTTTCAATTGTTATTTCTTTAAAAATGAAAGGCAAATCCAGTTTCTCTAACAAGTAAGCAGCATGGGGAAGGAAGTAGGGGAACTTAGTGTGAACACGGGATACCAAACAGATGAAAACGTGGCGCTGACATTATAGACTTTCTACTAATTTGGGGCACTATAATGATAGCGTAGTTATCTAAACAACATCCTGATCTGAGAAAGATACACACTGAAGTACATGAAATCCTAAGTCATTTGGAATTTGCTTTAAAATCACAAGCATGGAGGAACAGTGACAGCTGTCAAGTCTGGGTGATGTTTCTTTTATGCTTAAAATTTTCCAGGATTGAGGTAGAAGCGAGTTATAAAATCATTAAGGCTTTTATAATTTTACATGTGCAACGGGGAGTGTTCCCTCTACCACCAGCAGATGGCAGCATTGTACCGACCAGGGCCTGCATTGGGGCAATGCTACAGGCCACCTTAGGTTCTGCAGCCACCTCTGCTCTAGTCTAGCACTGCTCAGGCCCCTGAACTGCACACGCCCCCAGAGCCGGCAGCCTCTTTACCTGAGGATCTGGTTGTACTTGGCCAAGCGCTCTGATCGGCAAGGAGCACCAGTCTTGATCTGGAGGAGAAAAGACAGGTCATGCTTGCTTACGGTGGGCCTTGAGTCTTGGGAGACATTTTGGGCAAGGGGAGTGTGTTATGGCGAGAAAACCATTTCTTAAGGAGGATCTCTGACCCTAGGAAGAAGGGGATAAAGGGACCTACACAGACACACACACACATGAAAAAGGGGCCTCCAGGACCCCATTTGTGGGAGCTTCTTACCTGCCCAGTGCAGAGCCCCACCACCAGGTCGGCGATGAAGGTGTCTTCAGTCTCCCCAGAGCGATGGGACACCATGACACCCCACCCATTGGACTGGGCCAGCTTGCACCTAGAAGCAGGAAACAACCCAGATGCCGCTGACTCCATTTCCACCAGAGCCCCTGGCCCTCCTGATGGCACGACTCGCCACCCGTGGCAGGAGACCAGGGAGGGATCTGGACCCAGGAGCAGGCGGCCTGGGGAGATGATGACCCTCGCCCCCTGCACTCATGCAACCCTGGATCTCATCAGCCCTCTAGTCACATTTAAACACCTGGGTTCAGCCTTCCTGAGAGGAGCGAGACTTGTCTTCCCCTGACGTTCTCCGGGTGAAATGAAATTACAAGTCTGGGGTCATGAAGTGGATCAGGATTAGGCAACAACTGCCTAAGGCCCTAGTGCCCTTGGTGACATTGCTCACTTCATAAGCCACTCCAAGTTCAAATGTGAAACCCCGTTACAGCTCCAGGCAGGAGGGCCCCCTACACACAGAGGAGCTCCCAGAAGCTCGGACCCCTGCCGCGTGAGGCTGCTCCCGGGGACACTCACGCCTGAATAGACTCGGTCACGGAGCCGATCTGGTTCACTTTGAGCAGGAGGCAGTTGCACGACTTCTCGCTCACGGCCTTGGCAATCCGCTTCGGGTTGGTCACCGTGAGGTCGTCCCCCACCACCTGGATATCCGTGCTAGCAGTGAACTTGCGCCACGCTTCCCAGTCGTCCTGGTCGAAGGGGTCTTCGATCGACACCACTGAGGAGAGGAGGGCCACGCCTCATCAGTGTGAGCCCCCAGCCTGTGGACAGCGGCCCAACCTCACTTCCCTCCCGCTTCGCAGCCTGCCTGGCCTCACACCCCTCACCTGCAGGGCAGGAACGGCTCCGGCTCATGTGTTAGAACACTCTGCTCCCCTCACTCCTGGAAAGGCCGCCCACAACCCCGGGACTCGCAGTTACTAGTGAGCGGGCACTTACCTGCCCGTGGTGGGTTGCATCTGGGCTCTGCCCTGACCAGGTTATCTAGCTCCGCGGTTACACGCAGGGGCTTAACGGCAGCCTTTCTGGTCTGAAATCTCACCCCACCATATGCTGAGTGCCCTTGGGCAACTTACTGACTGCTATGCCCAGTCCTCTCTTATAAAACGGTATGGAGAGTCCCTACCTATCCCGTGTACACTAAGTGAGCACAGGGCCAGAGGAGCGCCGGCCCAGGCTGCCTACCAAGGCTCTCCTCACGGGTGTGACGAAGTATTTGCTCAGGAGGTTGCTGGGACAGTGACAGGAGGCAGCCCTACTGTGTAAACTGGCACTTAGAACCACCCGAGTCCTCTGCTGCACCAGGCACCTGCGAAGCCCCCTGCGCTGTGGGCACTGGAACCGGAAGAGCCCCAGAGGGGGCGCTGCAGTCCGGCCGCCCACCCACTCTCACACTGGCGCCGGCACCGCAGGCTTTGGCGGCTGCCTTGCGGCACGGCAGTGGCTGGAGAAGGGGGACGGTGCTCGGAAGCACTCACCTGGGTAGTCCTTGATGAAGGACTTGTACAGGTTGGCCAGCTCGTCGTGGCTGATGTACCTGTTGGGGTCATCGGGTGACTTGAAGTCCAGGTCATACTTCCCAGACTTGAAGAACTTGGAGGCAGCCATGTCCATGCTGATGACCACCTTATCGGTGTAGCCGGCTTTCCCGATGGCATTCTTCAGCAGCTCCAGGGCTGGAAAGAGATGGCAGTGACAAGTTTGGAAACCAGTCAGGTAGAGATCAAGTTTTCTTTAATAGCTGCCAAATGGGAACCGTAACGAAGAGGGGCTCTGGCCCCAACCACCAGTTGCAAGGATTCTGGTTCCCCTTTTCTGCTTTGGTCAGCACCCCTAGCGCACCACCAAGTGGGAAATCCAATCCTGACTCAGAAAAGAGGCGCTCACTGACAGCCACTCCCGAACTTAGCACCAGGAATGCTGTGCTGGCCAAGGTACAGTTACAGTGACCAGCGAGACCAGCTGTCCCGGGCACAGGGCTTTAAATAGAGCAAGGCTGGGATCCGAGAGGGAGGCTGGTTAGGGGAGCCCAGGACGGGGCCGTCTCCAGAGCCCAGGCTCAGGCTCTGCCTCACGTGGCAGCACTACCTGTAGGGAAACTGACAAACACGTGGCCTCTGTTCCACAGCAAAACCCCCCAAGCAGTCGGTTAGGTTAAGCCACGGAAGGGCCATTTTACAGGGCAAATGGCCGATACCATCACTATCCTATGTGACCCGAAGAGCAGGTGGATGTTCTCTCTCACCAGGTGCCCTTGAAGGTAACCAAGGAAGCTTGAGCCCCACCTTCCTTCCAAAACAAAAACACTCAGCCGTGACTTCTTGTCTAAGACTTCCTGTACCTCCACTCAATTCTCACACTGAATTCTGTGTCTACGGATTCACAGCAAAACAGCTTGTGTGAGCATCCCTGTGGTTAAAGGAACGACATATTATTGATCACAGTTCTGAACAGACAGTGTCTCCTTGAATAGAAATTTTAAATTCCTGCCATCGCCAGAGAGAACAAGAGAATAAACTGCCTCTACCCCACTTTAAGCAAACCACCAGGCTATTCAGAAGTCCAACTAATAGAAAATTCCTGCAGTTTTGCACTTTGATGCTTGCTGAAGGCAGGCGGAAAGAGCTGCTCCCGGGTGGCAGGTGTGGAAGACCGGCAGATGGGGCAGGGGGGCAAGACGGGGACGTGGGGCAGAACTCGGGACGGGCCCTCCAGAGCCTCACCTTCCTTATTCTCCAGGATGTTGGGAGCAAAGCCACCTTCGTCCCCCACGTTGGTGGCGTCTTTCCCGTACTTCTCCTTGATGACGTTCTTCAGGTTGTGGTAAACCTCGGCCCCAATGCGCATGGCTTCCCTGAAGTTGGCGGCGCCGACAGGGAGGATCATGAACTCCTGCATGGCCAGCTTGTTGCCAGCGTGAGAACCACCGTTGATGACATTCAAAGCCTGGGAGAGGCAGAGAGAAGTACAGGCTCAGTCCAGAGAAGCCTGCCAGATGGCAAGCCACCGACATCCAACTGCGCGGCCACGTGTGGCTGATAGCTCCCTGGTCACCCTGATAACCCCAATGGACGCCATCAGAGGCGCTCACCCTTCTAGCACTGGCTATTCCTCAGTGAATGCACACAGCCCAGCAAATACGATTTTCACTCCCTATCCTATATAATAAAGAGCTAATATGCTAACTGGACTGAACAGCAGAAAGACTGTCCAGAAGGTCATCTGGACGAAACTGGGGCTGCAAGGGCTGAGCCCCTTGTATGAATTTCATGCACCGGGCCTCTAGTCACTAATAAAGGACCCGGGGACAGGGAAGCTGAGTCACCAGCCGCTGAGACTACCACAGCCTGCTCGCACCACCATGTTGGGAGCCACAGGTGGACAAGTTCATGACGTGGTGGTCTCGGGTCCCACGAGGAAGCTGATGCTCAACTCCCCAAGCAGCCACTCACCGGAACTGGCAGGACGACCTCGGTGTTGCCAGCCAGGTCGGCAATGTGGCGGTACAGGGGCACCCCCTTCTCAACAGCCCCAGCCTTGCAGACGGCCAGGGACACTCCCAGAATGGCGTTGGCACCAAATTTAGCTGGAACAGAACAGAGTTAAATGGAGGGATCCTTACTCACTAGCCTTTCTCCTGCTGCCTCCCCGCCTGTGAGTGCACCTTGGGTTGATCCTGAACCTTTTCCTCTCATTTCATTTACTCCCCATGTTCAAGCTAAAATGCAAACTGCATCCCAGGGGGCCTCGCCTGCCTCTTCCCCTGAGAAATCCCCCTTTCAGCGTATGGACCTGCGTATGAAGGGCTCCTCCTTGAGAAACCCTCAGACGTGCTGCTGTCACCTGGTTATGCTCCTGACATTTGAAGCTGTGACTGACTAAGGCGAGGCAGGGAAATTCGGAGCGACCACAGATGTTCTTGTAGTTCCCTGTTAGGGACTATGTAACCTCTCCCCAAAGGGCGGCACGATCCCAGGAGACGCCATGACCTTCCCGGCAAGGACCCCCTTGGACCACTTACACTTATTTTCCGTCCCGTCCATCTCTATCATCAGCTTGTCGATCTTCTCCTGCTCCACGACGCTCAGCTTCTACAGGGAGAGGAAGTGAGGTCACCCCATTTGCACGGCCTTTGCACGTCATGGGAGCGATGTAAGTTTGGAACTGTGCGAAGTCCACATCAGTTCTGTTATACATTAGTTTGGCAGGCAAAAAGGGGGAGCCGCACAAAACTTCCTTTCATCCCAGAGAAAACGGGAGACACAGACTGTCCTTCATTTGTTTTAATACCATCAGGCATTTCTCCAAGCACCAGGAATGCCTAAGGTCTGGTGTCCTTGTGCAAAGGTTAGTCTGCTCAGGGAGTCCGAAGTCACATTTTACACGACAGAATCAACTTGTGATGCTAAGTTAGGTGTTATGACTACAAGTAGTGTGACTTCCCAGGCAACAATGAGCAATTCACTGTTCAAATGAGCCAAGCTACTCAAAGGCAGTTCCACCTCAGTGGTGCCTCATGGCCATCCGCAACGACAAAATGCAGCAGCTGATGGGAGATGGGATTCTTGCAAAATTATCTAGCAAAACAGCTGATAAATGATCAAGGTGAATACTTTTGGAGAGATTATGAATAAAATTGGTATCTTGAAAACTGGCTCAATGTCAATTTTTAATAAAAATTGATTACTGCCCTAACCGGTTTGGCTCAGTGGATAGAGTGTCGGCCTATGGACTGAAAGGTCCCAGGTTCGATTCCGGCCAAGGGCATGTACCTTGGTTGCAGGCACATCCCCAGTACAGGGTATGCAGGAGGCAGCTGATGTTTCTCACTCATCAACGTTTCTAACTCTCTATCCCTCTCTCTTCCTCTCTGTAAAAAAAATAATATATATATATAAAACTGATTATTTAAAAACCTCATAATTGAATCATAACAATATATCATTTTATTTATAGTTCCTTCTAGAAAACTCTAACATAAAACTGTATGTAACTCCATCATGCCATGTTAACAACTTGGTATCTTTTGCTTTTGACAAGGCATCTGTGGGAAAAGTCAAGTTACTTAAGCAGCTGGCTTCAGGGACCAACCCTCACTACGAGTTAGATTGACGTATGTTCTCCCCAAGGGAAAAAATGCCCAGGAAAGCCCTGCGCACTGTTAGTCATGCCAGGCAAGGGCACAAAGAACAGGGCTGTTCGCCGGCAGGGCAGTAACGAGAAACTGGGACCAGTTACAGAGTGCATGAAGGCCAGGCCAAAATAAGCCACCAGCATACAGGCTGCATTCCGAGGGGCGGGACCACACCCGAGAACAGACGAGGCGGCTGTGGAGGGTTTGGGCCGTGAGAAACTTCTCCAGCCAGGGGCTTTCAAATCACCCCCTTGTGCAAGGGCCACGGGAGCTATGGAGGGAGGAATAAACCTGCTGAGGAGGTCGGGCTTTTGGTCCCAGCCCTACTTCACCAACAGCAGCTCTACTTCTAATATGTTTATGTATTGAGGTCCCAAGTAAGACTGAACAAGAGCTCAACTGTTAAGTCAGTAGAAATACAATAAATAATTCCACAGCTCATGAAAAATGAATCAGTCACCATGGACACTACGCCCAACACCCCTGGATGTTAACTCCCCAAAGGGCAAGATAGTTGGAGGGAAGTCAGGGCTGTAAGGCAGCCTCCCCCGCTTCCCCCCAATTCCATGCACTGTTAGTTGTGGACACACAGGGAGTTGGTTAAAATGGCAAAATTATTCTCCTGCTGACAGGGAGTCCAACCGGCTTCTTCAGCGCTCAGAATGCGCTCCTCCATAAACAGGGGCCTGCTGGCCCGGGAGAGCTCTGATGGCATTAATATTCATTCGTTACCAGGAGGCAGGTCCTACCTTGCTAACCAGGGCAGGCGCAATAGTTTTATTGATGTGCTCAACAGCCTTGGAGACACCTAGAAGGAGCAATCAAATCAAATTACTGACATTAACGAAAAACAGGCTTGAGCAGCATTGTTGAGAGAACCAGATGCGAACCCAGCTAGTCCGAAGCCCACCAAAGACCTTCAATGGCACCCCCTGCAAATCCCCATCTCTCTCTCCCCTCGAAATCAAAGGACTTTCCAGCCCAGGCTCAGTGCTCACTGAGGAGCCGGGGTTAGAGCCGCACACAGAGCAGACACCTGTGTCCGAGGGGCAGTTAGTTGGCAAGACCATGCACTGGAAACACCAGCTGCAAAACTCCAGGGCGTGCCATGCGTTACCTGCGTGCACAAGGCAGGCGCCAGGAACTCATTAATATACTTAACGGGTCTGGAGACACCTGACCAGTGGAGATCGACAGAGAAGGAGAAAAGAAAGAAGAGAAAGGCTGTGAAGGACAGTGAGGGAGAGAGGAAACACAAGGCGGGAGAATACTGCAGGGCCTGAGCTCACCCTCATTACAATCAAGGCACAGCACTGTCCTGGTTCAGACAAGGACAGGCCTGGGCCCCGAGCCACCGTAACCCGTGGGAGGGCCCTCTGCAGACAGACCACGGGGCAGACTGAGAACACTGCCTGCCTACAGTCCCGTGGCCAGGCCCGGGCCCAGCGTTTCAATACTGCCCCACCCCCGCAGGCTTCTTAGACTTTTTCATATTTGTCCTCTTCCAGGGCAAATAGAGATTTTTTTTTGGTCTCTATAATATTCTGTCTCTCTGGAAGAACCAATTTCTGCCCCTGGGGTGAGCGCTCCCCCATGGAGAACGCATGGTCTGGGCCCGCTCTGGTTTTCCGTAACTTGGTTGTATCCACAGAGCGGTGGCCCCCAGAGGCCAGCCCTGCCGAGTGATGCTTGTGGATCAGTCAACAAAGACCAAGCTGCACACTGACCTGCAGGCCACCGTTAGCCAGACCTTCCAGATACTTCCCTCCTAGACCCCGCAGAGGACAGATGGTATGGAAGACCCTCAGAGCCCTCCCGGGAGACGGGCAAGGCTTTCTGTTAGTATTAACATGACTTCTTATCCAGAGGTTCCCTGGCCTACCCAGGAGTTTCACAGACTGGAGACAAGCCACAATAGAAACAGCACTGTGAGGCTTGCCCCAGCCCTGGCCGATGCGGCTCAGTGGTTGCAGAGTCAGCCCATGCACCAAAAGGGTCGTGGGGTCGGTGCCCAGTCAGGGTGTATACGGGAGGCAATTGCTGATGTTTGTCTCTTACACTGATGTTTCTCTCCCCTCCACCCCCACCTTCCTCTCTCTAAAATAAGAGAAGGCTAGAGCAGCCACGCTCGAGGCAGGTTGTGGGCGCCGACGCTTACCCTTCCCCAGATAGCGAGTCTTGTCATTGTCGCGAAGCTCTAGAGCCTCGTAGATACCAGTTGAGGCACCACTGGGCACAGCAGCTCTGAAGAGACCTGGGTGGTGAGGGAGAGGGAATAAACAGTGACGGTTAGGAAACAGTTACAGCCCTCACCCAGGCCCCACCCACCGATGACATGGGTTATTAGAAAACACTGTTACTTCCTTCCCCCAACTGGGAGACTCAGACTGTCTGTTCTTCCTGCCTTTCAGTTTGCATGATTCTGCAACGCAGACCCTACAGCAAAGCTGATGAAGTTCTCTAGTGTAAGAAAAAGCTCTAGAGCAGAGCTTCTCAAACTGTAATATGCACACGTCTTCCCTGGGGATTTTGCAAAAATGCAGACTGCCAACCCGGAGCTCTGTGGGTCTAGGTCTCTAAGGAGCTCGCATAGCTGGTGCCCACAGCTGGTCTGAGGCCCACGCCAGCAGCACTGCCCAATAGAACACGCGAGCCACTTAAGGGATTTTCGAGCAGCTGTGTTCAAGTTGAAAATTAAAAACAGCGAGTAAATTTAACACATCTTTTTTAGCCCAAGGTCTCCAAGACAGTATCATTTCAACTCATAATCAACAGCAACACTATGAGGTATTCCAGCCAGTCCAGCTCCAGGGCCCTGTTGCTAAGCCACCCTTGGACAACCTTGAGATCCGGCCGCCAGCTTTCAAGTCTTGAAAGTATTGGCTTAAGAGGAATCCCTATGGCCTGGCCATTCCAGTTTAAGCAGTTATAGAGCTACTTGGGGGTTTGCTGCAGAATAGGAAGCAGGATAGACTTGGGGAAGAGGAATCCAGATAAAGTGCAGAGTTTAACACCAGAACACAGTCAAGCACGGAACCACCGACTGCAGATACGGAAACCAGCCACCCAGCGACACCTGCACTGTGGAGTGGAAAACGCAAAGCTTGGGAGACAGTGTCAAGGTCGGTACCGAGGAGATCTGACCACACGGGGCAGACAGCCTCCTCAATCTTCTTGAAGGTGTGAGGCATTCCCCATGGGAGGTCTGTGAAGAACTGGTGGGTGTGAAGGCAAATGAACAAAGAAAAATATCAGCTGGGCATTGTAATCAAATGGTCTGTTCGAATGCCTGTCGCTGCCATGACTGTGCGAGCAGGACACACATTCTTCTTGACACAGGCCTGGCTCTCTCTATCCATCAAGCACTGGACCAGGTGAAGAAGGGATGAAAGCAAGATGACCCTAATGCAGTGATGGTGAACCTTTTGAGCTCGGCGTGTCAGCATTTTGAAAAACCTTAACTCTGGTGCCGTGTCACATATAGAAATTTTTTGACATTTGCAACCACAGTAAAACAAAGATTTATATTTTTGATATTTATTTTATATATTTAAATGCCATTTAACAAAGAAAAATCAACCAAAAAAAAGAGTTCGCGTGTCAGAGGTCATAGGTTTGCCATCACTGCCCTAATATGATCCAGGGACCTGGGGTGACAAGTGTGGGGCAGGTCTGACTGGAAGCAATGGACCACTCAGGTGGGGGAAGTGGGTTGGCTACACGGGAACTCTATACCTTCCACTCAACTCTGCTGTGAACGTAAAACTGCTCTAGGAAATAAATTCTAAGGAAGGAAGAAGTGATGAAAGGCTAACAAATTTACTATTTCCTGTTTTATCTGAAAAGGGTTAAGACACACAAGAGGGAAAGTTCCATTTATTTAAATTAAAAAAAAATTAATTTTAGTCATAAAATGTTTCAAAGAATATGGCCCCACTCCCAAGATTCTTCTAGAGTCTTGGATCTTTTTTGGTTGTTTTTTCGAGCCCATTAATTTCCCAGTGGAAAGTTCCACCGGCTGACTAAGCAAGCCAACCCTGTAAGAGGCAAGGAAATCCTGGGCATCCTGGGAGCGCCCATGCATGCGCCCTACGCCCCAGCTCAGAGGGAACCCCACTCTGAGAGCGCCCACCACAGTGGGTAACCAGAGGCAGAACACAGGCGGACTTTTGTCCAATGACATCTAGACTCAAGGGCTTTCTCTTCCTGGACAAGGTGGAGAGGAGAGGCAGCCAGGGCGGGAAGGGAAGGGCTGGAGGTTCCTCAGCCTGGCCTGTGAGTCACAGGCGTGACTCAGCTCTGACTGGCAGGTGTTCACGTGCTCAGCACACTGAGCGATTCTACCCAACCTCCTGTTCCAACCTCACCCACAATGCCCACTTAGAAGCCAGCTGAGGCGCTGGAGGAGGTCACAGGCTACAGAGGAACTTTAAGAGTCCCCATCCTATTTTTTCCATGTGAGCCAACTCTCCCTAGGGGTGAGTAAGGTTGCCTTTGGAACAGCCCAACACCCAAAGTGAAACCTGTCCCCGATCCCTGGTTAGAGAGCGATTTCTGGAAACAAGCTGACAGTGCTATATTCCCACGTGCATTTGCTGATCTGGTCACATCAAGCTTGGAAGCAAACCACTGATGGGCCTATTTAGGGTCAAGGGACACAGCAAGACCAGGACTCCTGCCTTACAACCCCCACCCCCAGCCAGTAATCACAACCTACCAGCACGTGTGGGCAAGACAGGCGTTATTTCAGCAATAGACTGTTTCCTGCCTCAGACTCTGTCACTTAAAGGAAGTTTTCAAAAGTGGAGTGTGGTGGAAGGAACTAGAGCAGCGGTTCTCAACCTGTGGGTCGCGACCCCTTTGGCGGTCGAACGACCCTTTCACAGGGGTCGCCTAAGACCATCCTGCATATCAGATATTTACATGACGATTCATAACAGTAGCAACATTACAGTTATGAAGTAGCAACGAAAATAATTATATGGTTGGGTCATAACATGAGGAACACTATTTAAAGGGCCAGAAGGTTGAGAACCACTGAACTAGAGAAACAGGTGGCGCATACATACCTTTTGCGGTGTAGAGATCCACCTCAACAGTGGGGTTCCCGCGAGAGTCGAAGATCTCTCTGGCGTGCACCTTCAGAATAGACATGGTGAATGTCTGTGGGGAAAGAGTTCACACAATAAGCCATAACACAGCCTGGGGACCATTCATTCAAGGGGTCACTTCCGAGGACTCCTAGACTAGACAGAACCTGGGCTGAATACTGGACGCATTCAGAAGGCCCAGAAACTGGACGCCTAGCGTGGGGAGAAGCCTGCTGGGAAGCAGTGGGAACTGCTAAGAAAGCAGGGTAGGCCAGCTCTGCAAGGCCTCGGGCCCCAGCAGCTCAGGCCTAAGCAAAGCCTCAAGAGGTGTAAGCCATAACGCAGCCTGGGGGTCACTTACGAGGGCTCCTAGACTAGGCAGAACCTGGGCTGAATACTGGATGCATTCAGAAGGCCCAGAAACTGGACGCCTAGCGTGGGGAGAAGCCTGCTGGGAAGCAGTGGGAATTGCTCCTGAGAAAGCAGGGTAGGCCAGCATTGCAAGGCCTCGGACCCCAGCAGCTCAGGCCTTGTCTGTAAGCCAAGCCTGAAGAGGTGTGTGCTAGGGAAAACACAAAGCCAGCAGGAAAGATTCATGTGCTGAGGGAGAATGGCTGAAGAGGGGGCAGTTGGAAACTGATTATTGCCATTCGTTAACGAGGGTTGGCATTGCCCATGGAGAGGCAGCAAGGGGACAGGAAGGTCACAGGCAAAACCATTTAGCACTAAATATGGGTGGGGCGGGGGTGGAGGCAAGAGGAAAATCTGATTTGTAGTGGAACAGAGGATTTAAAGTTTGGGCCAGATTTCATCCAGTTAAACCGGAGGCGGCAGCAGGCTGTCCCACTGGGGGTATTAGATAACCAGGGAGCTCCTTGGCCTCTGCACTGTGACCTTTGTCCTCCAGCTCTGGGCTTCCAAAACTCACAGGACTTGGGTCTTTAGTAAGATAAGGACACGTCAATAATGACACCAATTAGCAGTTCTTTCAAAGGGCATTTTACTCCATTTAAAAAGTAATTATGAGCTGTTATGATTTCTAAGTAGAGGGAAGATTCCATCTTTGAGCACCAGGGCACTCAAGGGAAGGGCCTTCCTTTAAAGGCCCTTAACATCACCGCAGCTGCAAGAGCAACAGCACATCCTAGAGGAAGCCTTTCTCCTCGATGCCTCTCTAAGGAAGACACCGGGGCTGGTGTGGGAGGAACGAATGAGTGTGCAGAAGCCATCACCCAGCCGGGCTCCCTCCAATACACGCTCCGGGATGTTCTGAAGCAGCAAAGGGCATCTTTTCTTCTTTAAAGTCTCAAAATTAGGCCCTGAAGTCACTTCCGTGTAACAACGGAGCTTTACTCGTGAGCGGATGGAAAGGTAGCTGGTTCTTATCTAACGCGCAAAAAAGCCATTGGTTTGTGCGCAGGTTTTAGCCTGGATGCACTTTTAAGCACGTCTTCCCTTCGCCTCAGCATCCCGTGCTGAGAGCTCATTTTCCGCTTCATTTTAGGGACATGTTATCAACTTGTTTCATGACGTGGGAATAGAATTCAATGCGTGCTTGAACGATGTGGGAAAGTCACTTGGGCTCAGGGCGCACAGGCAGGAAGGAAGATGGGTCTCATCGGGGTCTTCACAGCTTCTCACCTGCTGGGCCCGAGCCCCGG